ACACCTCCTTCAAGTTTTAAATGGCACCAGCCACCAAGAAACTGCTATTTTCGTTCTAGTTGCCATCTCTTACTGACACCTGCAGGACTTCAGACTTCTCTTCCTCTTGCCAAATCTTCCCTGTCTCACCATGGAGCCATGACCAATGGGAACACATTTAAAAAAAAATAAATCATAATTTTAGTAATTTGTTTGAATGTTGCTATGAAACATGTCATGGGGGCCAGTGCAAAGCCCTGTTTGTGTAGTCACCCACAGAGGAAAAAAAGACATTTGTTCTGTTTTGAAAAATACCTCTTTCATGTGGAAAGGGCATACGGTTTGGTCGGCCACCGAAGGGGAGGATAAGCTGCGGTGGGACGTTTGCTCAGTGCTGCAGCCCAGCTGAGCAGCTTTGCAAATGTTCCTTGAGATTGTTTTGCACTTTGCTCAATGCACATCACACACTGCAGCCAAATATTCATCCGCGGCTAAGAACTGGCTGCATTGTAGGGCAATTAAAGTAAAATATTACCCCCTCCTCCCTAACCCACAAGCAAACACTGCTGCGGGTGAAGGTCAGCAGAGGAAGAATGACATCATGAAACCCAAGAGGGAAAGCAAACATCACGCCGGCTCCATGTGTGGGTCAGCCACTGCGTTGGGACAGAGACTTGCCTCTTTGAGACTTTGACTTCTGTGCTATGTGCTTGGAGAACTTATTTTTGGGCAGCCATAAAGCATGGGTATGCTACACACCGCAGCTAACTGCAGAATGATCCATCCCTCTCCTGCTTTTCAAGTCCTGGCGGCAAATGGGGCACAACATCCTCACCATCCTGCTATGATGAAGGCATTTGCATGCGAGCCAGCAAAAGGCTCTTTAGCTGTGCTCCAACTGAAGCCCTGGATGGCCAGGGATCAACCCTTGGCCCACGCCGCTCCTGCTGGGGCAGGGCACGGGGCTGGCCATCAAAGTCTGTCCTTAAAGCATGGAAACAACTCATGCCAGGTAGCAAGACTTCTCTTCCCACAATGCAGTGCATCTTAGTAGGGCTAAAAGAATGTTTTTTTCTTACAATGGCAAGGAAATGACCTAAACCCCATGTAATTTTTTTTTTTTTTTAATTCTACTAGGGCGTAACAGTGGTGCCAGTCCCAGTGCCGCAGATGTAACCCACTCAGATGCATACACCCCCACGCCCAGCTACTTAAAACTACAAATGCCTGCTGCTGTAGGTGGGCTATGTGTAGGTAGATAAACTTGCATGCAAAAATCAAGGCGTCTGGGACGCAAGTTCACTTGTAGGAATCCATTAATATTATATGGAAGTGCTGGTAGGATAGGCCCAATGTTTCCCAAGCTGAAACATCCCCCTGCATCATTTGCTACCAGCAAAGCAAGGATTTACTGAGCTCCCTTGCTCAAACCCTGCCAAAGCCAAAGCCACATTTGGGCTCCCCTTGCTTCTTGGGAGCAGGGCAGAATGAGGTCCCTCGTGCCCATCCCACCAAGCACTGGGTGCCCACTCTGCATGCATCCACCTTCCCCTTTTCCTAGCACTGGGCTCCTCTTGTGGACCTTGCACATTCACCAGCATCTGCAGGCCTGATCCAATGTCCCGAGCACCTCCACGATCTCGCTGGGAGACATCCTGGTCTGGATAAAATCCGTAACAGAGGCTTAATGAGCAATTCCTGCCCTTGTGCTACTGCTATATGGTTAATCCTGTATGAGAGTGGGGGTTAAATACCTCTATACCTGCGTGCACACAACAGCTTGTGTGGATATAAATATACACACTACCAAAGAAATAATACTGCCCTTGATCCAAAATTGTTATAAATTTATTATGAATATAAAACCTGTGCTGGCCAGGACTCGCAAAGCAGCACTGTAAAAAATAAACCCTCCTGGCACTACAAATCCCAGAGCCTGGAAGACCTGGTTTTGCAAAGGACCCTCACAACCGGGAATAAACCCCAAAATTTAACAACTTGTTTATTTTTTTTTTTTTGTAAAAGTAAGTTTGCCATGTTAACAAAAGCAGAATAGTTTTATTTAGTGTTCATCTCACACCTTCGACAGCTGCAGCTGTCAGGCACAGAAATACAGTATTAAAATAAACTGAACAGAGTTGCTCATTGAAAAAATCACGCTATGCAAACCTGTGGATTGTAACATCAACAGTATAAAATGTAACAAAATCGGAATTTTTAATTTTTTTAAGCTTTTAAAGATAATAGTCCAGGCTATAAAACTATATAAGCATTGAATATGAAATGTTAAAGTCAACAAGTCTACAACAGATACATCTTGTAAAAACTCAATAGATTATATATATATTTATAATATCTAGTAACATTTGAAATCATGCACAGTTTTGTACATTTTCTTTTTTCAGTACAGGAAAACTCAACGCTTCGAGTACTTGGAATGTACACAATTAGCAGACATTTGTAAGAAAATACAAAAAAATTCTTTTTTATTCCAACAAAACAAAACAAAAATCTATAGAAATCTACCTTCTCAAACTTCCATTGAAATAACCTCAAACTATAAATTATTTATTTTAGGGTAAGGATTTTGTGGCTCTAAGAAGAAAAAAAAATAAATCTTAAAATGAGATGCTGTCATCCTGTTATTCTGAAACATTGATATGTAATATGCACCAGAGAAAAATGGAAGGAAAGAATTCAGGATGCAATTTGCCTCGCCTCTTCGTGGTAGTAGATAAAGTCTTCTGGACAATAAAAAAAAAACACAACCCACAAAAAATCCCCAGCCCAAATCTCTCCCCTTGTCAGCTTGATCCATGCTAAAATACCCTAGTTCACTCCTGTGCTTTTGAACAGCTGTCTGACATCGAGGAACAAAATAGCACAGCATTTTAAACACAGAAAATCAGGCATCACTGGCATTTTCCAGTAAGTTAGATGCAAAAGAACTACGCAGTCGTTGCACCTCTCCTGCAAAGAGTGTCACTCTTCTTGCTATTTTGCTCACAAGGCATTTCTGAAGCCCAAAATACAACGGTACTGGCAAAGGGGAAAAAAAAAATTACCCCGCATCATCCAAAGTCAACATTTCACTTTGCTGCATACTTGTTATTAAATCGACCACAAAGAATACCTTCATTTGAAAATAGAAAAATAAACACCCACACCCCCTTAATGCACAGTGGTTAAACTGATGGAAGAATTCTTGGCTCTGTTTTTCTGAAATATGTAAAAATCATCTCTCTGCTGCTATTTGTTTGGTTTTAACCACTGGTGATGTAGTGAAAAATAAACTTACTTTTGCTCACTGCAATCCAGGATAAACTAATATTTTTTTAATGAATACATATATATATATATATATATATATATACTTATAACATTAAATGTAATTTGTTAAAGGACTGTACACCTATACATTCTTTCAATATTTCCCATAAACACAAAAGAAAAACTTGATTAATATATTTTTTCTCCATTTTTAATAAGTTAAAAAAACCCCACCCTTAAACTCGGTGAAATTTAAAGTTTACAGTAATGCTACGCTATTTAAACCAATGAACAGATATGTTAACGTCTATAAATAACTTTACAAATATACATGTTAAGGTACAATTTTTAAAACAAAACTGTGAAGATATAAAACAAACAAACAAACAATCTTTTCTTTTGCCCAGATCAGTATATCCTAGATTGCAATGCTCGTATTTTGAGACTCTCTCTCAGTACTGCTTTATGTTGCATTAGTATTATACATTCTTTTTTTTTTTAATATATTTATTTATATATATACAGGATATATTTATAGATATATACACAGATTCTCTGGAATAAACCTTTTTGATATAAGTTAAAGGCTCTTGCCTACAGGTACCCGTAACTTCTTTCTCCGAGTCACTGCACGTAGATGGAGCCAAACCGCTGGCGTCGAGGGCTGGATGGAGGAGTTGCTCCCCTGCACTCGCCCTTGGCAAGCAAAACTATGCAAACCCCAAAAAGCGATTTTTTTTTTTCCTTTTCCCCCAAAATAGCTGTTCCCAAAGGTCGGGATGTGGCTTGAGACAGCATGTGGGCACCCAGGAGCTAGGTCCCCCGCCGGTCTCGGGTGGGGGATGCTCTCCTCTCAGGGGAACCCCACGGCCGGGACCCCCACGGCCGCTGCCAGGTCACTGCCCGTCCCTGGGGTCTGCTCCCGCCTCGGCACAGCCCCATCGCTCCCAGCCCAGTGCAAGGGCCGGCAGCCGCCGAGCCTGGCCGAAGCACCGCCATTTCAGATGGCTTGACTGTCTCTTTTTATCATTTTTTTTTTCCTTTCTCCATGACGATTTGCATTTCACTTTTTTTTTTCTTCTTCCAAAAAGGATTCCTTCTATGTAGCTGGGTAATACGATCATGAAGCTATAAAAACGACGACAACAAAAATATAGATATTTTTATAAATATATGAATCCCTGCAGGCAACGTGGCTTTTCAGCTCCACCAAAAAGGTTCATGTACAGATTGCATAAGCAAAGAATTTCTACATTCTTTACACTTTTTTTTTTGTTTGTGTTTTTTTTTTAAAAAAAAAGGAAGATTTTTTTTTTTTCTCTTCTTCGTATTGCAGGCACAGAACGGCTACTCTGGCACTCGAAATGCAAGCATGGAGGCTGGGAGGTCAGCGCCCCCCAGGTTCAACATTCTGCTTAGAAAAAAACCAAAAAAACCCAAACAAAAAACGGAAAATAAAAAAAAAAATCATATATGATAGGTCATCTTGGCAATAGATTCTCTGTAGCACAATGTGTTCTTTTGTCTTTTTAATACCAAAAAGGAAAAAAAAAAAAAAAAAAAAAACCAACAAAAAAAAGTTTTTCTTTTTTTTTTACCCTGAACAGTTCGACACCACCACAAATCTCCGGGCACCACCACGCAGTTCCACTAGAAGATCCTTCACTACGGTTTCATCCTCGGCGCCCCACCCTCGTGCCTCCGTGGGCATGCTGCCCGCCTGTCTATCCGTCCATCCGTCCGTCCGCCCGGGGTGTCCTCACGTCCGGATGACACCGTTGCAGGAGGGGTGCTTGGGCAAGCAGGGCTCATCGGGCATCAGGTCATGTGCAAAGACTGAGTCATCCCCCGAGGAGCAGGTGCTGTGGGTGTCCTGGCCAGCCGGCGAGTACTGCTCGAAGGGTACCGAGAGGTCCAGGTACTCCTGCCAGGGTGACAGACCCATCAATGGTGGGTGCCCCACACTGGGGACCGAGCGACCCCTCCCCGCACCCCCCCACACTCACATCGGTGGACGTCACGGTGAGGACCCTGTCCAGGTCTTCCACCAGCTGCTTGAAGGTGGGCCGCTGCGAGGGGACGGCGTGCCAGCACTCCCGCATGATCATGTACCTGCATGAGATGGGAGAGGGGACTGTCACCCATGGTGGGGCTAAGAGGCACCCATCTGCCTGCCCACCCACCTCCAAATTGCCTGAGGGAACAGCTATGGCCAACACAACTTCAGCCATGGTGGCCTTGGCGCATGGCCAGCTTCGGGGAGGAGGAGGAGGAGGAACCATCCTAAAGATGACACACCAGAGCTGCACCCCCAACTGCCACCCACCAAATGAGTCATGAGCTGAGCCGAAATGTGTCGGGGTAGGTAAACCTACCCGCTGCCAGCTCCACAATCTCACGGTGGGGATGTCCCACCGGCCTGAACCATGGTCTGGGGTGGTATTTGGCTGCAGAGGGAAGGGGGAGTGGGGCAAGGAGGTCATCCCCCCACCACACACTCACAAATCATGGGTGCAGTTTGCAGGTTTGTCCATCCGATGGCCTTCCTTCAAGAGTTTGAAGAGTTCCTCAACAGGAATTCCCGGGTACGGAGACCCTCCCAAAGTGAAGATCTCCCATAGTAGCACTCCAAAAGACCAGCTGGAAACCAAAGAAAGATCTTTAAAATTCAATGAGGTTTTTTTCAAGCCCCCCCTATATCCCCTCCCCCCCGCCCAGCTTTATTTCTGTGCAGCCATGCATAGCTAACAAAGTCATCAATAGCATGACTAATTGCCTAGGCCATTTTTACTAGTTACTTGGAGATCTCTGCTGATCCAACTCAATAGCAAAGAAATCCCAGGCACCAAGTCTGAAATTGAAATGAGCATTTAATCAGATAGGTGACAGCCCATCTATTACCCCCAGCTCTTTGTTAGGTCTTCCACCAGCTCCACTGAATGGAACAAATCAAATTATTCATGCACAGCTTCACTGAATTGCAGGCTTGGAACCACAGGCCACTAATTGTGCAAGCTGATACCAAAACTTGCTTGTTACAACACTCATTTCACTGGCCAAGCTGGGAGAAAAATACCCCAACAAAAATCAGCAGAGCACTAATGTTACACACTCCACTCCCGCAGCTGTGCTCTGGTTAAAAGTCCTCTTTTTGAAAAATATCTCTTGCCTTCTTCATTTTCTTTTTAAAAACAGGGATTATCTGTCTCTGTTTTGCTTCCATGCACGCTCGCTTTCCCGTTCTCTAGCTTTGATTTATCTGTCATGCCTGCTGCAGCATTACCTAAGCATGGAAACTATGATTTAAGATCAATAAAAGCCAAAGTATGTGAAAAATACAGAAATAGAAAGATTCATTTGTCCAATTGCAAGCGGTGAGCCTTGAGGAACAGGCAGGCTGGCTGCTGAATTACTGTAAAAATGCCATTATTGACCAAATATTGAAATAAAAAACCCAGCGTGCATGCTGAGCTACTTCAGTCCTTGCAAAGTTCAGATGTGATACAGATTTACACGTTAAGGCAGGCTCTGCTGTTTGCCTACCGTGCAGAGGCACCAAAAAAGACAAGACAGGATTAAGATAAATAAAGGCAAATACATGAAGCGGCAAAATTAATCCGAGAATATATTTGTTGAATATTCTCTGATCAACTCTACTAATGGCAGACAGAATATTTTATCATCCCACGTACTCAGCTGAAGCGTAACTGTCTGGGGCAAAGCGTGGAGGAAGCTGAGGGTATTTTTTTTTTACATGGAGGTTTTCTTGCACGGATTTTTTTTTGACTGCAGGATGAATCTCCTCATCTATAAACTGGACAAGAAATACCTGCCTGCCTTCCAATAATTTTTCAGCAGCTCACTAGACATCCTCAGATGAAAGCAACTGGATAACGGTAAAATAAAACCACGTGTGCTAAGCTGCAGCTTGGAATCAATTAATTTGCTTTTGCATCCCCAGGCACCCCAGCAGTGAACAAGCCCTGCTCGTGCTTAGCAGTATGTCTGTCTTTAAGATACTATAGGTGTCGATTTCCCTGACATTTTATTCTTTTTTAGAAGTGCGAGTACGCTTACACATCACTCTGGTGAGTATAGACCCGGTCAAACAAGGCTTCTGGAGCCATCCATTTCACAGGCAGCCGACCCTGTAATTAGGAAGACAATGGGAACATCCCATCAGCATATTCCCCCAGCCACAGCGGCACCATCTGAATCTGCTTTTCTAATCCAGTTTGAAACATTTTCATTAACAACCACATCTGCCTTCCCGGTCACTGGGCAAAGCAGTAGTGGCCACATATAAACAGATTAGAGCATTTGATCCCTGGATCTTCGCTGACAATCTTTGCAGTAAATGCTCTCTGTAAGAGGACTGTATTTCACTGCCAAGGCAGGTTTAACATATCAGAGCCTCTAAATCTTTGCATGGGAGCAGCATTCATTGCTCAGAAATGCAGCGAGCTCTGCAGCAGAGCATGGGACAACACTTTCCATCTCTTTGGTTGGAAGAAGCAGTTTGACTCCAAGTCCAAACCCTGCTTAGGCTGAACTTGAAGGGAAACTTCCAAGAGTGAAGGCAAGGGCCAGATCCTCTAAGAATCATATCCTGATCCCACTGGAGAATAAAGGAGGAAGCCTGATCCCAAGTTTCCAGGGGAACATCCCACATCAGGGTCATAAACATGGGCCATCACATGTGAGAAATAAAGACTAGATTAATCATCATTCTTTTGGGCTTTGCTTGGCCCCTGGAGGGAGTCAGAAACGACTGTTTCATGTCTGAGGCATAACCTGACTATGGGAGGGCTTTGTCCTCTTCTGACCCACTGTCTCACTGGGGGAGGCAACTAGAGATGGGACATAGGCAGGATGCACAAATGGGATTATTCTCTCAGCTGTCCAACACAGCTCAAACAGGGAAAATCCACTTGATCTACTATTAAAATTCCCAATAATTTTTATTGATTTATGATTAAGAAATCCTGGCAATTAAGATACTGGAAAGGATCTGTATGGGCATGGTGGGCTTTGTAGGACTGCCTGGACATTTAGACCCCTTGCAGTGTCAAGACCCTCAGGTTCTGCAATATGCTCAACCTCTTCCACTGCCATCTCTGCACTCCGTTGCAGTTGCGGCTTTTGCTTAGAGCTCAGCATCTGCTGCAGGGCTCTGAACCAAGACACAGGTCTTCTCTCCAGCCCTTCATTTGTAAATTCATCTCTACAGAAAATCTAAACAACTCCGGGACTCAGCCCTTGTCTGGGACCATCTTCTCACCCTTGGTAGTGGAGCCAAGCTGCTCAGTTGTAGAAAAGAGAGAGAAATGCATGAAAGCCGGTAGCTCCAGGTACACAAAAAGTGTCATTCCTCTGTCAAGGGCTCTGGTGGGACAGAAGTTGGCTCCTTGGGACTTTTAGGAACAGTAGTGGAGCAGACTGGAAAGGGCTCCATTTCCCTTTGGTAAAAACCTTGGTTTCTCTTAGTCCAGAGCCTCCTGGTCAGAGCCAAGATCTCTCAACCGGCTGCTAGCACCAGCAGTATCTGTCAGGAAGAAAATGGAGGGTGGGTGGACTCCTGGGGCCATCCTATCTACAGCCCCTCACAGGATGAGGCCACTGGCAGATTTCTTCCTCCTAAGCCTCTCTAGAAAGGGAGATGTGCGACAAGGGCCACTTGCTGCAGGGACGGCCGAATTCCCTGCCAGAAGGAGAACTGCACGTGCTTGGCAGCTCTGTACTTACGTTGGTGGTTTTCTTGTAATAGTCGATGTTGTGAACGTCTCTAGCGAGGCCAAAATCAGCTATTTTCATCACATTGTCTTCAGTGACTAACACGTTCCTGGCTGCCAAGTCGCGATGAATGCACTGTGAAAGGTGAGCAAGTCAATAAATAAGGGCTTGTTAGCTGCCTGCGCCTGGAACCAACAGCACCGTCTGGTTTATAAGCTGCCGTTTCATTGACTCCCAAGCTCATAAAGCTGCGGGCACTGCTTAACTCTTCGCTTTCTGTGTCACTGCCCCATCATGCATGCTCGGTGGGAGCCACCTCTTAGCAACACCTAATCGGCAGGCGCAGCGCTGACACAGCCCCGGGTCTTTTTTTCCCACAGGGGGAGGAC